TCCTCTAGCGGCCATGGTGTAAGTCAGTTTATACGACGTACTTTATTTCACAACGCCATATTGGCGTTGCATGCGCCCGCGAGATAAACCGCTTGCCGTCACCGATTTCTGGCTATGCCGTGCATACACTTTATTAGTTTATGTTTGCATGCAGACCTCGATCAGTAATTACGTAACAAGGGAATTCAATCATACATATTGTAAATTCGCAATATTCTGCACATGAATAGAACAGTGGACATCTACAATGAATAATTGCTTCACTGGCTAATACTGTCATTAGATAGGAGGCTTATGCGATTGAAACGTTGTTATGTTTCAGATTTTCTCTTTGGTTACAAATGCTACCAATGTAGGTATAATTCTTGAAAACATGCATGTAAGTTGTGTTTTCCCATCTATAAAACTCCGTGAAACCGACTTATAATATCAGATTGTAAATTTGGAATGCATGTACGGCCATGCCGTACCGATTGCAAGCACAATGCGGGAAAAACACCACAGTAATACTGTTTCAAGTTGTCATATATTTACTATATATAGTTATGCTCCGGCTAGATACTCACTTTCTGTGACCTGTAAAAGCGGACCTGTATTGCAGGTGCATACATTATATTAAGTTGCTTTATAGGCGCTTTGGGTCGCACTACCATATATTCACTAACATAACCAATCATATCTTGGATTTTGACGAAAAAACATTGCATAAATGAATATAATTCCGCTTTCGTGCTTAGGTGCAGGTCAACTATTACATGTACATGTTCCATACTTCCATTGAGTCATATTTCGTTTCATACATTGCATATATGTGTATGTGGAGACACGCATGTTTGACTCGTTGGGATGGGTTAATGGTAATAATTCTGCTGGAGTATAAGCAGGGATATCATATTGTTGTATATTTCTGAAATTACCTCGAAACACCTAAAATTTAATTTATTTCTTAAATCGCCTAATTGAATTGTCCTAATCACACATAATCACACAATCACAATTTTTAAATCACGTAATTACGGCCCGAAATGTGCAATTTATTCTTAGGTCCCCTAGAATCCCATTAGAGAGTTTAAGATCTACGACGCGGCCGGCTCAACGACGCGCTTGCGAAAGAAAGAAATTTGTCATGCAAGACAAAAACTGTGAATAATTTGTGGTTCCAGGGGTATTCTCAACGGCTTTGTCATGCTCAGCAGAACGTTAAACTAAGCATTATCACGTCCTTCAAGCAACGCAAAGCTTATTGCGACCCAAAAGGTGATACTTCAAGTCGAAATTACAGCAAACATTGCATCGCTTTAGCCAAACTTAGCAGTTTGTAATGTTATTTCAAAATCGTCAAACATTTATTACAGTAATGAAATTGCTTAGCGTTTATTTTTTAGCTGAAATTCAGACCGCGTCGTTGAGCCGGCCATGTCGTAGATCTTAAACTCTCTATTAATAGTGAGTTTAAGTTCGACTTCCAATACCGATACCAATGTTTTCACTTCCGTTCTCATTTTGGTACCGGGAATTTTAAAGTGTTAAGTTATCACGACAGATAAAGTATACAACACATTAATCGTCACCGAAAATGTTCTGCATATTAAACGGCAGCTGAGCTAAAATTTCGACTAAAACATGACTCAGGCGATGCTAATAAACAAATAGTTTACATGTTTATCGTAAAAATTATGGAATATCCGATTTATATGAGTTTATCTTCCAATTCCCCCGACTTCCAATACAATGTCGACATCGGTAGTGGTGACTTCCAATACACTTGTCCTCGTGTCTCTTGCGAGCAGAGAGCATATGCGTGACATGCATGACATGTTGTTAGTATATCGGTGTTGGTATCGGAAGTCGAACTTAAACTCTCTAATATCTTGTTTAGGCCGAGTTGTCACCCCAGAGTAGACCTACTCTACCTTGACAGCTTGCACATTTGGCATACATTTGAAAATTAAAATAACTATACCCCCTCACTTTCCAGTGAACAAGTTTAAAGACAGCTGCGGTTTACACACTGTACTGGGAAATCACCGCAGTGTACAGTCTGCGTTGCCGGATTAGGCGTGCTGCTTTTTAAAATCTATATTGTATAATTTTACTTCAGAAATAAAAATTCAATACACATTTACTTATGATGGTGCTGATATAAGTAATGAAACCGTTTCCGTAGTTAGATCCAAATCACCTATTTGACCTTTCGGAAATGAAAAATACTTAATTAAAACCTGCTATAGGCCAATGGATATCCACGTTAGCAACGTTAAGATTATGCGAAATGCACACCATGTGTTTGTGCAAAATGTCTTTGTGTTGCCGTTGATCAAGCAGAACAATTAGTTCCGGATAAATGTGAATTGAAAATTTTTCAACGTGTTTTGTTGGATAAACTTTTCCATCGGATACCATCTTTGAAAGATAAGTCGACCTTATATGTCGGATAAATAAATGCATCATCACATTGTAGTTTCATTATCAATTACTCGCATATATTTCCAACGCATTTCAAGTTATATTGCAACCACCACGTGCTTATATTTATGGAAGTCTAAAATAATTATCCATTTATGAAGAGGAAATATAATATCAATCAATGTTGTAATGAGTCGTTGTGCCAATGTATACACAATTTTCCAGATTTGCACAGACATTTCTCTCGATTCTTCGATTAAAATCAATTCCTATTATACGTCTGTGCTATATATCTGACATAGAACCTTTTGTCCTTGGCTAAAACTTAGTAAATCTGATACAAGGCGGCCGCTCATATATACTGTATCTATTCTTGAGCTTCAAAACTGTTTCCTTAACTAACATTTTAAGGTACATTTCTTTGTTTGGTTTTGTAATGCTCAACATACTCGGTATATTTCCACAATAAGCTACGTATTTCCTACGTTTCACGATGCTCATATATTTAGTTAATATAGGTGATGAAATGCTATAGCAATGAACAGTACAGGTAAACAGTTATACTTTAATTCTTACCCGTAAGGTCGTAACCAACAGTTGCTTATACCAATTAAACAAAGCACGCTGGGAACACAAAGCAGCAAAGATATGAAATTTACCATTCTCATATTCTGGAAGTGTTCTTCGACTGTTCTGAACAGCCGGCACGAAGAAATAAAGTGAAACCGAGTATGCGGTTAATATGAGATGCACTATGGTCTGCATGAGGAAACCGCATGCTAATGACGTAATTACATCCAATGCAATTCAGTCACGCTGCCAAAAGCAATCGCCGTACTATAGTAGTTAGTAATTCTTCAAGTGTCGTGTGTACCACTGCAATACCTTTCCATCTTTTTCGTACGCTTTGGTTTCTGAAATATATTTATAAAATTAGAAAAATCTGATTTGATGAAAGTGGTTAGTAAGGGTTGTCCGATATAGTCAAATCTATTGTGTTAATACGATTCTTGGAAGTGTTAGTACGATCCTTGGAATTCGTTGATTTGCGTTGTGAAAACCCGGAATGCCGGAATATCACGGACTATGGCGGAATATCACGGAATATCACGGAATATGCCAGAATATCACGGAATATCACGTCATTTTCCCGGAATATACCGGAACATCACGATATTTTCAGATGGTAGCCATGCGACTGTTTATAAACATGGACATTTGACAACATATTTTATTACAAAATTGATGGATCTTTTCCACTTTGACGGTAAGTAACAAACAATAACTCTATACTGGAAGTTTTATATGTTGTTTATATCATTATTACTAGTGTTCACCAAAAATTTTGATTCCTCCTGAGTTACAGCGTCTTGAAAAATAAAAGTGCAGACGTCAGTATTATTTTCGGACGCCTTCAGAACTGTTATACACAAAAGTTAGTTAAAAATTCTTGGTGAAGGTTATGACGGGACTTTTTACCTGATATAAACAAGAATTTAAACATCTTGGCTCAAACTTGCTTTATTTTAGCATTTGAATTTTGGATAAATGCTTGGTGGTATAGAATGGTCAATTTTATACCATAAAATAAAGGCAAGATTGAAACAAGATGTTTAAATTCTTGTTTATATCAGGTGAGAAGTCCCGTCTTAACCTTAACCAAGATTTTTTAACTAAATTTTGTGTATAACACAGTTCTGAATGCGTCCGAAAATAGTGCTGACGTCGGCACTTTTATTTTTTAAGACGCTGTAACTCAGGAGGAATTAATCAAAATTTTTAGTGAACACTAGTAATAATGATATAAACAACATATAACATTTTCAGTATTGAGTTATTGTTTGTTACTTACCGTCTAAATGGGGAAGATCCATTACTTTTGTCAGTAATTATAGGAGCGTTTCTTTTGTAAATCTAGATTTGGATTTTTAGGATTCGGATTTTTTGGATTCGGGGGCCCTCTACCCTCATTTTTCTTGTTCGGGAACCTATGTACAACAGTAGCTCTATATTATTATGGTTTAATGTATATGCAACATGCCATATATCATTTTAAAGCTTATAACATTATCTACACAAATATCATTACAGACGACCTCCAAGGAAAGAACTTAAATGTATAAGAACCATGTAAATCCGAAATGGTTAATTTTTAACCCGTCCATGTTTGAAATCTATCTAGTAAAAAACTAAGCATCAAAACTTGATATATTTAAGTTGTATAATAGATTACATCCCAGTCAAGAAAATAATGGATGCTTTTGGTGTAACACTCTATTTTGTTGCCATGGCAATGAATATTAGGTAAGGATGTTATTCATTAACACCAATTTTAGTATAGAACATCCAATTTTTATCAGAGTGTAAAAAGCATCCATTAATTTGTGCAAAAATACCTAAAGAACAATCTCAGAGAAAATCAGCAAGATTGCTTAAATACTTTTGGAGTTTTTAGGATTTAGGTAACGGCCGGAAACCAAAATACGTTTTTTGAGAAAACGCCATTTAAAGTTAGTTAACTATAGCACAAGCGTTTTCTAATATACCTGCCAAAAGCCAACACATATCACTGTGGGAATGTTAAAATGTCACTTTCATTGTCTTTTGCTGATGAAATGTGCCAATGGGGCATCATCGCTCTCCTCGGAATCACTGTCCTCGGAATCATTGTCCGCCAAAAGTCTAGTGGATAGTCATCATCATTAGATGATGATGTAGCATAATCAAGAGGGTCAACATCGTTGAAATTCCCACTGGCATATGAGGATTCACCTTTCTATTGGTTTGCTGCAAGCTTGGCTTCTCTGATTTTCCTCCTTCTTTCCTTTTTCTTCAACTTTGCCTTCTTTACAGAGTGCCTCATCCTTGTCGCATTTCATCTTCTTGCAGCCTTCCAGGGTGAACTCACCACCAGGGATGTTTGCAGCCTTCATGACATCCTGTCGTGATGCAGCACCACAATTGAAGGCCAGCACAGCTGACATAGCAGCAATTTCAATAAACCGAGGCCCTTTAAATCGGTGTTTAAGGGCATGATTCCACACAAGACTGTTCAAGCTCTCGTTGACATTCTGCGAATAACCGGGAAGGCAACGAAGCAAAAGAGAATAATGACTCACACGCTTGAATTCAGGGACCAGAAACTCCAAGAAAACTGCGTCTAAATGATGGTCCTTTCTCTGAAATTTTCCTTCTCTTTTATGAGAGCACCAACTATCTGGTCCCGATGGACAAAATTTGTGTCTCTCTTTGTCATCAATAAGTTCACATGAATGGTATAGAACTGCCATTTTAGCCTGTTGCATGATGGATATTTGCTCCTTTTGATGTTGTGCAGTTAGCTTCCCAGGTTTGACATTTGCTCTGATTACATTGGCATAGTATGTATGGAGCTTATCTATCACTTTGTCTGTCAGTCGATGTTTGCTCCCCTTCACCGATTTCCCATCCTTCGGCTTGGTTACTTTCTTCCTCAGTTCCGCTTTTATCTTTTAAAAGACTCCTGAACCACGATTGTTTAACGTATTCTGCCGTATAGCAAATATAACAGTTGAGCATGTTTTGAAATGTTATTCTTAAAATCATCATTCAACTCCATAGCTGCAATGCCAAGTGATATAGCCTCAACTATCTGGTCTTGAATTATACTTTAAAGTGAACAAATAACAAGACAACTATATTAAAGAAATATTCAGGATATATTTAAAATGTATAATTGAAAGATCAAACTTTTCCGTATTCCTTAGGAAGAATAGCGATAACCGGCGTCTTCTCCACGTAGCAAATTAATAATATACTTTCTCTGTTCTGGTTCAACTGAATTTCGAAACCTAAATACATGAAATAAAAGTAAGTTTCCTCGAAAGCATTAACTGGCGGCATATTTTTGATACGCGACTATAAACGTGTCAACGTGAGCAAAATTATTGTTGATATTTGAGTTATGTAATTACTTCCGTTAACGAGATTAACCAATGGGAAGCTTTTCCGAAGATTCTTCGGAGAAGAACAAATTAATCATAGGCATTTGGGCAGGCGTTTATTTAACGACGCCCTTTCTTCTCCTGCCCGCACTAAACGCCTGCTACGCAGGCTATATGTATCCCAGATACTAGCAAAGGCTTTAATATCACCGTCACTAATCATAAACTTATAGTGCAGATTGTTCTCCTTTAACCGGCCCCATATCTTCTTGGCGATAGAGCACTCCATTGATCCACTTGAACAAGTGTGAGTTTGGGTACATTGTTCCTGGTGACCACCAAACCAAATATCAAACTCAGGAGAATCTTCACCCAGATCCTTCTTTGCTATTTGACATTCTCTACATATCTTTGATTCAAAGTCATAGTCAAGTACCTCGCCAGTGTCAGCTGAAATAACAAAGCCAATACCAAAGTTTGCTGTGTACACTCGTTTCGACCATGTGCCATCGTAGCTCACAGCAATCTCTCCAACACCGGACTCATTGTCACTGTGGCGTGAAAAGACTTTGTCTGTTGCTTCCTGCAACTGCCCAGAAACAGCTTTCTTGTGGGCTTCATACAGTGCAGTCACATGATGTTTCCAAACATTAGGATGGCAAGGAGGCGGCATGTTGAAAATATCACACATAACCGACATTCCATCTCTCCCCACTCCCATTTCCATTGCGGAGTAAACCATTCGTCGATTGATGTCAATGGAATTTTTTGGGTTCCATCCCTGATTCTTGTTTCCCGAAGTTTGGAGCTTAAATTTAGTGTCACATTTAGAGCACTCAATTATGATAACTGCGCTATTTCCATATCTACGAGCCTCATCATCAGTAACTTTCAACTCTCCCCCTGATTCACAATTATGTAAAGACTGAAATGCATTACCTAAATTTGAAAGTTCAATCAGTCTATAACCATATTCGCCATCGAAATCTTCTCTTCTATCGTTATTTTGATTATTATCTTTCGTATGGAAGCAGTTTCATTGACTGGTGTTGATCCATATGGCGTCGATGTTGAGGACAAAACATGTTCAGAAGCGAGCACAGAAGAGCTGATAGGACTCAAAGTATTCCATCGATTTTGGCCAAGAAATGTCTTCTTTTTCGACACTTTTGGCATTGCGAAGAAAGAATAATCTCTAAAAACTATTTTCAGTTACAAATAAACAACAAAATAAAATACAGCCCGGTCAAAATATATATCTTTGATGTATTCTCAGTGTTGATAGCTATTCTCTCAAACAACAAAGTAAAATGTGGTGTTCAATGGCTTAGTGACCAGACCTTAACATCGTTACCAGTCCCTCATGTGTGGAATATCATAAATGCAACAAAAAAAATTCAAATGCCCACAAACAACCAAGAAAACCGGCCTAACAAACAGTAAATATAAATGCGTTTCCATGGCAACGGGAAAGACGGTTGCATACCCTTTCAAAAAAATGCAATTTTGAGAGAAAGGAAGGTGGTATCAGACACAATTTTGTTTTGACAACTTTCTACACATACTAACCATAACTTTTATGCAAAAGAATATTTTTTTTAATTTTCAAAGTTCTTAAGGTAGACGGGCTCCTTAAACAAATGGAACGAATTGTGAGAATCGGAATTCGTCTGCTGTTTTCCCGCCATTTTTACAATTAGTTTTCTGTCCCACTATACCTTTCGGTCGGGTCAAGGTACATGCTACATACATACATACATACATACATACACTTTATTTCAACACGGAAGAATCATCAGTACAAGAATAAAATAGACAAATTTAAATATGTACAATGTTAGTCAAAAGATAAAAATAATAATTACTGTTTTACATGATTGCCGTGCAAGAGTCCATATACTCAGTATACTATAGGAAGTTAGTCAATTCGACTTTGAATGAATTGAGAGAAGGGGCTGATCTGAGCTGTTCTGACAAGCTGTTCCACAGGAAAGGACCACTGTAGCTGAAAGAACGTTTTAAATAGTCTGTTCGGGGTTTTGGAACAGACAATTTATTTAGAGAATTTCTCAGATCATGATTGCTCACTTTGGGTGTAAATAACTGCTGCAAGTATTGAGGAGCACAATTATTATTAACTTTGTACATTAGTATAGCTTTTTGCTTCATGCGATTTTTTGCCAAAACACTCCATCCCAACTCAGAAAGTAGGGATGCTGACGAAACCTCATACGAGGACCTGGTCATTACCCTAGCCGCACGATTTTGCAGCTTTTGTAGTTTCTCACCCAGTTTTAAACCAATACCATCCCACACTGGAGAGCAATAAGTAAAATAGGGCTCGACCAGGCCCCTGTATGCCTTCACAGCCGTTTCTCTATTGATGAAAGGTCTTACGCGCTTAAGAGCACTAATACCGGACGAAATTTTTTTGGTAATATTATTGATATGGTTTTTCCAAGTTAAGTGCTCGTCGATTGTTAGACCTAACGACTTTGTAGATTGAACTTTTTTGATCTTTTTGTTGTCTACAAAGACATTTAAATCGTTGGTTTCACTGAAGGTTGCAAGTCTCTGACGGGAGCCAATGACCATAAGTTCGGTTTTTGCAATATTAAGACTTAATTTATTGAATTGTAGCCAGGTATTTAGATTGATCAATTCCGCATTCATTGCGTCTTCCAACTCAGAAAGATCATGGCTATGAAAAGTTATGTTAGTATCATCGGCATACATTTTTGCTAAACCGTCATTCATACAATTTGGCAAATCATTAATATAGACCAAAAACAAAAGAGGTCCAATTATTGACCCTTGCGGAACACCATAAGTATAAGAAGGCCAGAAGCTCAAAAGGAACGTTGAATCCTAATCAAGATTCAGATTGAATCCGAAAAATCCATATGTTGAGGTGGATTCATCAGATTCGAATCTATTTTAAGATTTTGTTAAATGAAACTGACAATCGATAATCGGATTTGAGGATCCAAATTCGGATTGCACTAAAGGAACGCACCCAAAATATGTTGTCAGACCATAAAGCTGTTTTTGTATCATAATTATTATTGGGTGTGCAAGTGTATTTTATTATCGTTGCATGTCTGATCGCACATTCAATGTTTGGTTGCGCACTCAATATTTCAGTTCGCACACTCAATATTTCAGTTCGCACACTCAATATTCCAGTTCGCACACTCAATGTTTCAGTGTCTACTTCTGCGCAAAAAGTTAAGAAAAACTACCGCTGATCAGGCGCGAAATATAGTGTGGGCCACTGACGTGACCACGTGTGTGTGCAAAAGAACAACATGGCGGGCGAAGAAAGTCAGTCTAATAATTTTAATCGGGCACCTTACCCTGATAAATGAAGCTGTTTCAATGTTAAAATCTAGTCCGGGAAATAATGAAAACACATTTAAGGGCGAATCCAATTCAACGAATTCGAATGGGTCATCAACGACAGCACCAAGAACGCCATCAAGACAAGTTGAACTGGTCAGGATGTTTCCATTTATGCGACCAACAGTGACGTCCACAGCAAAACCATCGACCAGTAAAGGTGCATTTAGACCTAGTTCACATACTTATCCGTATCAAAGATATACGCCAAAGGTGTCATGGACATATGCGTTTATATTCTTGGCAGATAAAGATGAAAAATCTGTTCCGTCGAGAGAAGAAAAACGGATTTTGAAGGAAGCTGGCCTTGAAGAAAAAATTTTTTTTCACTGATAAAAATGGTTGATTCAATCATGTAAAAAGTACGTTAGAGGCCCAGTTCCGACAGCTAAAAGATGTGAATGGCGTATTTGAGATTTTACGGTCAGGTGGAGCAAGGAGAGACTTGGAGGTTATTCCAATGCTACCCCTAGGTTACAACGTGCCTTATTTGAAAGATTCTATAGAACAGACTATTGGATATATAAGGCCTGTCCAAATAAATCTTGCAAAAACTCCTATCAACAAGGTATTGTATTGTTTATATAACCTACATACGTGTATATATTATACAAATTTGGATCATTAATTTTGAATATCCCTCCCCCCCCCTTCTTTTGGTTACGACCTCCACCATCCCCTTAAATTTTTTTTTTTTTAAATTACTGTGAAGCAACATTGCAATTTTGTCTCACAATGTTACACAAACTTTTCTGAGTTATTTGCAATTTTGGAATGGAGATGTTTCAATTGCCAATTTTTCAAACAAAGCATCTATGTAATACAGTCGTGCCAATAGAAGCGTTCCGAAAAATGTTGACCGTTCGTTCTTTTCCTAACTTGAAGGAACACCTCTGAACAATTCCTTAAAATTTTCAAAATTTCTTTAAAAAGTTCCTAACTTCCTGTGTCATTGACCAATCAAATTTTATTTTTGAGCAATATGATTGGTCAGTGAAACAGGAAGTTAGGAAAGTTAGGAAATTATCAAATTGTTGAGGAATTGTTCAGAGGAACTCCTCGAAGTTAAGAAATGAATTGGTCAACATTTTTCGGAACGCTTCTATTGGCACGACTGTATTTGTTGGTTAGCAGCAAAGGAGGAACTCCAGTTGCTCAGGGCATCCGTCCATCCTGAAGTGAAATCAGAGGCTTTGTTCAAAAGTATTATTTGCAATATTTTGATATATAAAAATGTTGTAATTGGGTCAGAGCTATCCGCTAAGCGGAATTACAATACAACCTGCAAATCAAATTACCCCCCTCCCTGGTTAAAATGGAAAAATGTTAAACATTTCTTATAGGAAAATGTTAACCAGTTTTTTGCATTGGAGCTTAATACAATATATTTTTTTTTGTAAATAGGTTTCACCGCAAGTTAATGTTGACATGAGCAATGCCCTTCAGCAATGTGCCTTAAATGCAATGAATGTGTGCCAATATCAGTGTTACGTAATCACGAGGAGGGTTGCACAGCAGAGTCACCTGACAATGGTAGCACTGCAGAGCCACCTGATGATGGTATTGATAGCATTAGAGAGCGACATAATGATGGAAGCGTTCCAAGTAGAAGTGATAATGAAAAGGTACATTACTGTTAGGAGTAATCTACTATTGTATAATAACAAACAAATTGTAAACATTTATGTTATGTATATTGTAGGAAAGGTACAGTTCTAGTAAATACTTGATAGTAACATACAGTAATTAATTGGTTTGTTTTAGAAAAAAAAATGTTTGTCCACTCAAAGAACTATTCCCAAATGAGGAAGATATAGCTATTCGAAGTGCATTATCTAGTTGTGACAATGATATAAATGAGGCTGCATCTATACTTGCTGGCATTGAGGATGGCAAGTGTTTATATATGTATATATAGATATGGGGTGTGCAAAAAATTCAGAGCGGGGGGGTGGCGATAATCTTGTGCAAGGGCGGATCCAGGGTTTTTGATTACCGGTTATATGGTTCCCCAACTAATAGGGGGTTCGGGGGTATGCCCCCCAGAAAAATGTGGGGCTCTGAAACAGCATTTCCTGCGTTCTGGCGTCACTTTTTAAATTAATTTAATGATTAGAAAATGCATGTTTTTAAGTGATTTTTTTACTAACACGCAGCTCAAAGAATGAATTGAAACTTTTCTGACGCGTATTACTGTAGCTAGTGCCTAGTGATAAAAGTATAGGATCCGCTAATTGCTGACACATTGATTTAGATCTACATATAGGAACATGTTAATTTTAAAATTTCTATCTTACTTAACGGTAGTTTAATTTAGTGCTTTTAAGGGACGGGGGGTTGCTCATTTTTGTGTGTGTGTGGGGTGCACACTTTCGGGACTATTTGGGCGTGCGCAACACACCCCCGTACCCCCAGAGGTATCCGTCCTGATATATATATATATATATATATATATATATATATATATATATATATATATATATATATATATATATATATATATACTTGGCGTAAATTGTTTCGATTTATTTTTGTATTTACAGATGCAGCAACAACACATGAGACATATAAAAAATTTGCAAAAGCTTGCATGTCATCTATAACCCTGGGTTCTCAAGGTTATGGCAGGTTTTAGAAATGTAGCAAACTGTACTACACATTATTGAGTTTCGTTATCATGATAAACTTAGACGTTTCCACTTTTCAGATTTATATTTTTGATAAATTTACAACAAGACAATTATATGTGCAATGTTCTGTGCATATTCCACATTTTGCTGTAGATTTAAATTTGTTAAAGAATAAAGTTGATTGATTACTGCATTAAGTTTCTGCAGTAAGATTTGGTAACAATTTCTCCTAGTGTACTGTAGCTGGTATTAATGCATGTAGACCATACTTTTGCTGTATTAATCTATCTTCAAATTCCTGGTAACCCATTAATGAGTGGCAACGCAGCTTCTTTCAGTATGTAGTTTACTCTGTTCAAGACCAGATTCTCAATGGAATTAGAATTTTAATGGTTAATATATGTGTTTTGATTAAAGATTGATGTCAGTTAATGGGTTAATATATATATATATATATATATATATATATATAT